GATCAAGACCAAAGCTACTTATTAGATTGCAAGACCAAGAAAAAGGGAGTCTTAATCTTGGTATTGCATTTGCTCATCTCTAGGAAAATACAAGTGGTGGCTAATTACTTATAGGCCAGTCAAACAGGATTTATTAAAGGGGTCACTTGGAAAAAAGTGTTAAAAATCTAATTATTATTTTTATTAGTTCATTTGATGTCAAAGAAAAGTTTCCTAGATTTGTTATACAGTTTTCAGTAATTGATTAAGCAAATTAAAATTATATTAGTTAACAAGAAATGAAACTAATACTAATTTTCACAATTCTGTAATAGGCCAATCAAATTGGAGATGTCACTTGGAAAAATTGTTCGTAAACTAACTATTATTTTGATTAGTTTGTTTGATGTAAAAGAGAAGTTTTCTAAGTTTGCACGTTTGCTCGATCACCGCTCGAGCCAGGAGAACAAATGTGCAAAAAGATGAATTACTCAAAACTATAAGTAATTACGAATATACAAGTATAATAAATATATAGTACCAAATTTTAAATATTCTCTCTACTGTGTTTTGCAGTGAAAATGATTCAGTTAACTGTCTCATATTTGACTGCTTAAGATTAAGGTGTACATAATATAGGCGCGCGAACAGATTCCTAACTGTACTTAACAAGAATCATTTAATACACACGATAATGTTTGTATTTGATCGATCGTAGAGTATGGACGAGAGAGAGAATTGAATTTATGGACATGGAATTAAACCAGTTCTGTACCGAGATATAGATCTCTAACGTCGGGTAACCTTTCAAGGTTGCCGAGAGAAGAAGGGAACCTAAACGGGGTCACTGGCCCCTTTTTGTTCTATGGAGTACCGTACTATCACACATATTCTGCATTTTAAATCTATGTTTGATCCGTTTGTTACGTTTGAGTTTTGTTATATTAAGGTTAGATGAAAGGCAAGTGTGCGAATTTGGTCCTTGGGACAAAATTATTAAAGAATTAACAGTGCAGTTAAATAGCTAGTTATATAGATTTTTTTTGTTTATACTTAAGTGATCTGACACCAGATCAGAGCAGTGGCGGGTACAGAGGGGGGCCCATGGAGCCAGGGCCCCCCCTAATATCTCTAAATTGGGTTAAATATTAACATTTTGGGTTAAAAATGGCGCTCTAAAAAGCATATTCTACATTAGTTTTTATTTGGGCCCGCCTAAAATAAATTCCGGGCCCCCCCTTAAATACATTCCTGTATCCGCCCCTGGATCACAGTACTGCACTTTGGGCAAGGACTGATCAATTTGCTCTTATAATCATTATTAAAAACCTATATATTATTTATTTAGAAAATTGTGCAGAAATGAACAAATGTAGCTATAAAGTGAGTTGATCGCTTTTATTGCTGCTTGGCTATCAGATAAGATGGCTATTTGTTGTTTTGGATAGTTCTTATCTAAGATAAATTGTACGTATCTTTGGATAGCGTAGATTTCTGCAAAAATGATGCTGGGGTAGGTGTCCATTGGTTCGGAGTATTTAGTTTTCGACCAAATTACTCCTACTCTTGTCCCTGTTTTGGTTTTGGAAGTATCATACTATGTATACTACGTTATGACAAGGCATATAAAACAATCGGCAGGTTAACTCTGCCTAGATCGTCTGTAATTATATTTCTATAAAATTTGACCTTGGAGACGCTATTCGGAGATCGAAGTCAGAACCGGATTAAAACGCATCAAACAATTTTCCAGAAAATATACTAATGGTAGACAGGGTCGTATTAAAAAAATAAGATATAGCAATTGACTGAAACTGAATTTTATTTACACAATACTTTTGTCCGCAAAAATGAATCGTTAACCGCGTATACTCATCGAAAAATAAAAATGAAGAAATCAATTAAAGACTTAAAGAATTGACTGTAGAGAATAGACACTTAAAATTAAAACACATGCAACGAACAAAAACATGCCAGGAGCAACAAACAAGAATTAAAGAAATACACAATAAAATATCTATTGAAAAATATAAAGAGGCTATGTACAAATTATGCCCATCAATGAACGTAGCAAATTTTATTAATATTCAAATTTCATAAATTAACAAATCAGCTAGAGGAAGAAGATTCACAGATTAATTTAAATATGAATGTCTGGCGATGTACTTTCCGGGCCGAAATTATACAAGACGCTCTTGACAAATCTTTTTTTTTCCGTCCATGTTTAGAGACGCTAAGAAAATTAATATATGACATCGATGTCAAACCTGGCTTAGAAAGTCCTAGTGTATTTGAGACTCTAAAAAGAAAAGTTGAAAGTTTCGATGAACTTAATCGATATTATGTTCTATGTATTGAAGAGATGAGTATCAAGTGCAATTTACTTTATAATAGTAGTCGTGGTATTATTGTAAGTTTTGAGGACCAGGGGAAGGAGAACAGAGAGTTTAAACCAGTTCGGGTGTCTACAGTTGTTATGGTAAGAGGTATATTTACCAATTGGAAGCAACCCCCAGCTTATTTTTTTTATAACAATACATGCCCAGGTAAACATTTGAAGGAAATTATATTTGACGCATTTATTATTATTTTATTAGTAAGTGATGAAGTGAACTCTAATAATGTTTATTTAAAAAATATTTTTAATATTACTCCAAATACCCCATACTTTTTTGTTAACAACCAGCAAGTTTTTTTTATGTTCGATATTCCGTACCTGATACGCTGCTGTAACTGTCTGTTGTCGATAAAAAAACTACGACACTGGTTTCGGATCCCGAAATGGCGGCGACGTGCGCAAGGATATGCGCGTAGCGTTTCCGCTAAAGCCTGTGTGAGCGAGCCTGTAGATTGTTTTATATGCCGTGGATATGGTATGGTCTTTTACATGCAATTTTCTCCCTTCCAATACTTTCTAGTGCTCAATACTACAGTGAGGTGTTTTTCAAAGTTGTAAATTCTTAGTATGTCATCTACTGGGAGCTGGAGGAGTGGAATTTTCTTTTTGAATTTTCTCCTGACCTGAAAATTCTCCCAGTACTGTTTTCGTCAATGGCCATTCTAATCATTATCTCATTGGTATAACTACCAACGACAATATGCAGTGGTGTTAACGACGTTAGACGACTTTAGTTGTAATTCTGTTAATCGTGTCAGACTTTTATTCAAAGGCAAGTGTATGATATAAATGTGTGTATGTTATAAATGTATAATATAAACTCTATTGAGACGCACTGCTCATTCACGCATGTCATAGGCCTCATGGGATCGGATATCTCGTGGGTCGGTTTAACTTTTTAAACTCTCTAGCCATTACATGGGAAAGACCGTGGTTTAGACCCCGCGTTGACAAAGTACATACTTTTCTATTAAATAGAAAAGTAGGTTTAGACCCCGCGTTGTCAAAGTACATACTTCTCTATTAAATAGAAAAGTATGTAAGTAGTTATCACAAATTTTGTGATAACCTGCAATACCCAATATATTGTCGCTCTCGTCGGGTTTGGCTGCTGTATTCAAACTTATATTATTTATTTTGATTTTTAGCACTCTACTTCAATTCTTAAAAGTAGATGCTGCTCTTTAGATTTAGGTTCCCAAATATTGGTATTCGTGCACTTTTTCTAATACAATTAAATTTCAGCTTTACTTATTTCATCTAATTATTGTATTATGTAGCACAATCGCTTAAATTATTTAGATATAAAGTGAAACTGAACATGTAATAGTCGATTTGAAACGTAGACATGTTCTACTTTTAGAGTGGGTTTTCGATATTTCGATAGGATACTTAATTATAGATAAAGAAAGCTGTAATTACCGAGAAATCTGCGTTTGCAAAGTGTTTTCAAGACAGGTAGTTTTCAATTGCATTTAAAAATCGAATTGCTATAAATTAAGGCTCGTTATGAAATAAAATTGACATGCTTAATTGTGTTTTTATTGATATTAGTAGGTATAAAAGTAGTTTTACGTAATTTAGAGCAATTGAAAACCAGTTTTTTAGCAATTTTTTATTTAGTAGTATGGTTTAGTTTATACCGTATATATCTATTAGTATAACGACTATATTAAGACAACTATTTTTTATCGTGTTCCACTAAAATATGCATTAAAAAAAGAACATACACTCGTGAAAAAGTTGGGAGCAGTCGAGCGTCAAGTTGTCCCATAAGCAATACCCGCATTGGAACGTTTTATAAGTGGTTGCCATATTATGGAAATTTCCATAATTGGGATGGATAAAGATGCTATCATTGCTAGAATATATTATATATATTATAATATGAATAACGTTTCTTTAAATTTACGCTTTTTTCAGTTAAGTTCCTTGTGGATAATCAGGGCTTCCGACCATTTTATGTCGTGGTGTTTGGACATTAAGTCGTTTTATCACAATATACGAGTCACTGCACTCACAAGGTACCTGGCAGATGATCATGATCATGTTTTGATGATTACGGTTTTGTTGTTCTTAAGACAGTAGTTAATCTTTTATGTAAAACTGGCTAGGTATTTTTACACAAATGAAGAAGGAAATTAAAGATAAAGGATTATACTATATCCGTACTGTAGCACATTTTTAGACAACTTATTTATTTTTAAGATTTGATGGTCAAACATCAACAATATATTGTTTATGTTTAGACTAAATTTTCTCGAAAATAAAGACATAATTTAAAAATCCGTTACATTATGGAAATAGATTGAAGTTTTGTGATTACACTGATATATAATTTATATGGTTTTGTAACAAATTGATCGCTATTTTATATCAAATGCTGAAGCTCTGCAAACCTTAATCAAAGCACGTGTGTTTTTTTGGGTTATCTTAACACGACAGGATCGGGCTTAGCTTTAGGCAGATTTTTGAAATATAATATATATTTCCTTCGACCACAGACCCGCTTTACCTGAGAGCAACCCGAAAGTACAGCGCAATAGAATCTTAAGTCAATTTTAGTAGATAATTATATTTATTTTTGTTATTAATACTAATTATTCTTTTTTCTTTGTTTCAGATGGAGAGGAAGTGTATATAAACTAGTATGGAGAGAATTAGTAGCCTATTTATGTGTATATTATTCAATTAATTTATTGTACAGATATGGATTAAATGAAAACCAACAGAGGTAAAAATGAATTTAAAAATTGAAATGTCTACTCAAATTTTAATATCTTTTTTATTTCTAGGATATTCGAAAGAATTAGGTTATACTTCAGCCAACAAAGCGAAACGATACCTATGTCGTTCGTGTTGGGTTTCTATGTGTCATTGGTGGTGAAAAGATGGTGGGAACAATACAGACTGTTGCCCTGGCCTGATACTCTAGCTCTATTTTTAAATGCAGCTATCCCAGGTGCGGTAAGTACGTATTGACTTTTTAGTTTGATTATATATTTCTAATATACAGGGTGAGTTTCCTACGATGTTCTCTATGGTATCTCCGAGGGTATCTCGGAAAGTACTGGAGATAGAGAGTCGGTTAAATGGGGAAAAAATTGCAGTTTTGTGGGGTCATAAATATGCGCCTTTCAGATTTTTGAAAAAGTTCATGGCTTACTAGATATTTCGAAAAAAACAAATTTCGGCTATTTTAAAAATTGTCCCAAATTCCATTATAAGCTATTTTAGACAAACAGTTTTCAGATAAAAGTTGTAGATAATCACATCCTTAATGAGATTGTTTTCTCCGTTTTTTTTTCTAAAGCCTGTCATTTTTGACATATGACACAAACATATGTTTTTTTAAATGGAAACATAGTTGGCCATGACTTCATAAAAAGCGGCATTTTTTAAGCTTTTCAACGATATAAGCTATAATATGTTTTCTTCGAAAAATTACCGAGTTATAGCCAATTCTTATCATTTTTAAACAATTTCACTTAGATAGCCATGGAAACAAGTTTAATCGTCTTTGCTCTCATCAATGTCAAAGTTTACAGAATAAAAACTTTGTCGATGTGAAGCTGTCACATCCAAATTTTGTAAATTAAAATAAACAAAAATTGTAAATATGAATGTTTCAAATGAAGAAAAGCATGTAGGATTATTGGTTCAACTTTTCTTGACCATATGTACATTTTGGAGAATACGTTGACCGGTGAATGTTACGTTTTTTAGAGAACGGTTTTCAAGACAAGAAAAGTTAAATTTAGTTATAGCCAATTCTTATCTTTCTTGACTAATTCTACTTAGATTGTCTTAGATTGTATTAGACCACTTAGATTTCACTTAGATGGTATTCTATTCTGGTATGGTATTCTTATTCTGTTATGATTTATAACTTATAAAAAGTCTGAAATAAAAGAATATAATTACTAAACGGTTTTTTACAATTTACATTATACAAACTAAAACTTACAAAAATAATATCACTACATACACTTTAAGTTATTTTAGAAAATGTTCAAAAATCCGTCATTGTTTTGAGTTGCATCTTTTTAAAACTGAATTACTACCTATTCTCACAGAAAGACCGGTCGAGTTAATTAAACGTTTCTCGTACCGCCACTTCTTTCAAGTTCTTTTGTAAACCTTAATGTTAACCATACCGCATAAAAAATCTAAAATGGATAGGTCAGGTGATCGAGGAGGCCCATGCAATTGGTCCACCTCTTGCTATACCTGAGTTTGCATAAGTATGATATAAATAATTTTTAACATTTCTTTCATTATGGGGGAGGTCATAATGAAAGTCATGTTGGAACCACTCTATTGATGCGCGAGTATCTACACGCCTTTTGTTCATTTGAAAAACTCATACTTTACAATTTTTGTTTATTTTAATTTACAAAGTTTGGATGTGACCTTGACATTTCTGAGAGCAAAGGCGATTGAATGAGAGAACAACGGCGGTTTCCATGGCTAACTAAGTGAAATTGTTTAAAAAAGATAAGAATTGGCTATAACTCAGTAATTTGTCGAAGAAAACATATTATAACTTATATCGCTAAAAAGCTTAAAAAAATGCGCTTTTTATGAAGTCATGGCCAACTATGGTTTCCATTTAAAAAAACATATGTTTGCATCATATGTCAAAAATGACAGGCTTTAGAAAAAAACGGAGGAAACAATCTCATTAAGGATGTAGTTATCTACAACTTTCATCTGAAAACTTTTTGTCTAAAATAGCTTATAATGGAATTAGGGACAATTTTTAAAATAGCCGAAATTTGTTTTTTTCGAAATATCTAATAAGCCATGAATTCTTTCAAAAATCTGAAAGGCGCATATTTATTACCCCACAAAACTGCAATTCTTTCCCCATTTAACCGACTCTCTATCTCCAGTAGTTTCCGAGATACCCATAGAGAACATCGTAAGAAACTCACCCTATATAAAGTATCGTTTTAAGTTATTTTAAAAGAACGTTTTTTTTAGAAAAACGATAACTTTTCTAAAAATACAAAAGTTATCGTAAAAACGTATTATACAAGGTTAATCGAAGAGTTCTTTTTACCCTATTTTTAACATACCCTGTCCAAAAATTTCGTAACCAAATTTTCCTATAACATTATTTTTTGGTCAGAACCATGTCTCCTGAATATTTTGTATTTTGCTTCATGGCAACACATGCCTTAGTTAATTTTACGACCAAGGACCAAAATGGACTTGTCACAAACTTTTTGCAATTTTTTCAATTATCGTTACTTTTTGATGTTATTTTTCATAATGACCAAACCAAACCAAACCAAAGCCACCTCTTTGGTGTGACTATTGTTGTGTATGATTGCATATGGTTTTTAGGGTCAACGATTGTGCAAAAGTCATTGATGTAGTTAAAGACGGCCGAAATTATGAATATTCTCTTGATGCTTGAAGGAGAATGGGAAAACATAACATAATATAACTACTTACTTACTGCCATTACTCGCTGACGAGTATTTAACGCGTATCAGAAGATGGTTATGCAAGGCGTTTTCTTTTATAAGCTTTTCTGTGACTGAAAAGCCCGATACGTGATGTTAGCCCTCTTCCGCACTCCGGACATTCAAAATCTCATTACTTTGTTGCCTCTTTACTTTTTGGCTGTCGTTGTTAACTGGGTTTATAATTGTTCTCCATTGAGCTCTATTTTGCGCTGCTTTTCCTCCCACTGCATGCTTATCCCCTTTAAGTTTTCATCGAAAATATCCTTGTATCTTTTGAGTTGTCCACCTGGTTTCCTCTTACCCTCCCTCTACAAGCTCACCGTAAAGAAAATATTTCGGTATACGGTTTTCTTGCATCCTGCATACGTGGCCAGATCATTTTAAGCGAGATTTAGTAATCATGACTTTAGCGCTTTCGCAGCTTGCTATTTCAAGGACTGATACGTTTGAGACATGGTGGTACCATTTGATTCTTAACAGTTGCCCAAGGTGTCTCTGTTGCAACTTTTGTCTAATGCTTTCGTGTGCTGGCAGTACGTCTACAGACATTTATAGCAGCCGGGGGAGACAATGCAAAGTATTATAGTATTTTTTACTTTTTTTTGCATTGTTTAAGTTTTCTGTTTGTTTGTAAACTTAGTTATTACAGTTAAGTTTTTTTTAATGTCCCTAGTTCTGTTAGTTTTACTAATAGGTCTCTAAAGAGTTCTAATGCAGTGTCGATATGGTATTACGACAATAGTCACCAAAGCCTCGTCGTGATGTTAAAAAATTACATCATAAAATAATTATTACAGTTGAGGGTTGGAACCTTTGGTGTTACACAGCAAAATAAAACACTAAATCACCACAATACACCAAAACACTTTTACTTTTACACTGGACGCGCGTTTCGCTAACCATGTTAGCATCATCAGCAGATGATTATAAACTAAAATACAATCTACAATTGGAGCGTTTATATACTCGCTCAGTGGGCACAAAGTGGGCGTGGTAAGATCTAGCCAACCGAGTCAGAACCCACCGAGCGTAACAGTTAGAGTTCCACCATTAGAGTAGTAGGAACAAGAACTTGAAGGAATTGGACCGTTGCCTCTGTTCATACTATCTTTACATTTATTAATTCTGATGCTTTCGTATGCATCTAATTGCCTGTAATTTGAGACTTGTCTAATTAATTTCAAGTTATTAAGATCTATACAATGTGCTTTATCAACAATATGTTCGGCAACGCAAGATTTATCCGGTCTACCATATCTTATCTGAGCTAAATGTTTTTTAAATCTAGTTAATATTGATCTTGTAGTTTGCCCAACATATTTCTGATTACAATCTTTACAAGAAATTTCATAAATACCCGACCTTTCCAGTAGAGGTGTTTTATCCTTTGGATTACCTAATAATTGTTGTAATTTATTATTAGCACTATACACAAGTTTATAATTGACCCGCTTAAAAATTCCTTTTAGACCACGGGATAACTGTCTATCAAACGGTATTGAAAAATATTTTGACGTATCTTTGTTTCTAAATAATTAGAAAACGTAGGTATAGGTTAATGATTTCTGAAAATTCGACTTTTCAAGTAGAGAAAGATACGTCAAAATATTTTTCAATACCGTTTGATCTTTTGATTTGACAGTTATCCCGTGAAAAAAGGAATGTTTAAGCAGGTCAATTATAAACTTGTGGATAGTGCTAATAATAAATTACAACAATTATTAGGTAATCCAAAGGATAAAACACCTCTACTGGAAAGGTCGGGTATTTATGAAATTTCTTGTAAAGATTGTAATCAGAAATATGTTGGGCAAACTAGAAGATCAATATTAACTAGATTTAAAGAACATTTAGCTCAGATTAGATATGGTAAACCGGATAAATCTTGCGTTGCCGAACATATTGTTGATAAAGGACATTGTATAGATCTTAATAACTTGAAATTAATTAAACAAGTCTCAAATTACAGGCATTTAGATGCATATGAAAGCATCAGAATTAATAAATGTATAGATAGTATGAACAGAGACAACGGTCCAATTCCTTCAAGTTCTTTGTTCCTACTTCTCTAGTGGCGGAAATCTAACTGTTACGCTCGGTGGGTTCTGACTCTGTTGGCTAGATCTTGCCATGCCCACTTTCTGCCCACTGAGCGAGAGTATATAAACGCTCCAATTGTAGATTGTATTTTAGTTTATAATCATCTGCTGATGGTGCTAATATGGTTAGCGAAACGCGCGTCCAGTGTAAAAGTAAAAGTGTTTTGGTGTATTGTGGTGATTTAGTGTTTTATTTTGTTTTTTATCATAAAATAATGATAGAAGAAAAAATTGCAAATTCTTGGTGGCAAGATCATTTCGCTCTTAAAAATTAACCATGGCATGCGTTGATGTGAGACATTTTAGAATTAGAATGAGTGGGAGGGGGGTTAATCACTGCGACCTTACAGATCTATTGTGGCCCCCTGTCTTGAGTTATAACTCATCATACAGTCACAGGGCTTTGAGAAAAGCCAGTACTGGGACGGTTTTACAGAGGGTAGTTATCTCAGTCTCCAATATCAGTCGTACCAAAGTTCATGGCACGAATGGTTGTCGTCTCGGCGCACCCAGTGATGAGGTGTTTCTGGTGTTTCCTCATTTTCCCCATATAATTTGTATTCGCCGTTTCTTCTTATCAATCTACTGAGGTGATCATTGAGGAGACAGTGTCCTGTTAAAAACGCAGTGACAATCCGAAGATTGTTCTTACTTAAATCCAGGAATTTTTCTTGGTTGTAAGCCCTCAGAAACTTCTTTGAGTGTCTTAGACCGTTGCAAGATTCCCATTCCAGGTTGCGGATGGAGTCTTCCAAGTTTTTAAGTTCCGCTTTTAGTTGGTTACCACTTGCGAAGCAGAACGGTTCTGGTCCAGTTAGTGGAGTGTTCACTCCTTTTCTAGCTAGATCGTTTGCTTTTTCATTGCCTTCTATCCTTTGGTGAGCAGGCACCCAGAATAGGAGGACTTTCTTTGCCTAATTTATTCAGCTTCTCTATGCATTTTTTGACCAATTTCGAATTGATTGATACTGAGTTGGTCGCTTTTAACACTGCTTGACTATCAGATAAGATGGCTATTTCTTGTTTCCGATACTTTTTATCTAAGATAAGTTGTATGCATCTTTCGATAGCGTCGATTTCTTCCTGTAGGATGCTAGGATAGGTGCCAATTGGTTCGGAGTATTTAGTTCTCGACCCAAATACTCCGATCCCTGTTCCCGCATTGGTTTTGGAAGCATTAGTATACCAAGTTATGGTATGGTCTTTTAACTGCTGAGCAGACGTTTCTCTCTTCCAATCCTTTTTATTGCTAAATACTACATTGAGGTGTTCCTCAAAGTTGTACATTCTTGTCATCCACTGGGAGTTGTAGGAGTGGTATTTCCTTTATGAACCAGGAGAAATGGTTCTGATCGAAACATAATGTTTTAGGAAAAGTTATTCACGAAATTATTGCACAGGCTGTTTAAAAAACAACCCTTCAATTAACTCTCTATAATCAGCCAAATACTAAGTTTATAAAAAACTGAGTTTATGAGTTAAAGTTGATATATTTGTATACAGTTTGTCGAAAAACTGAATATGAAATATGAATATAGGACTAAGAATAAAAAAAATATACCACTTTAAACTCTTGGCGAAAAAATTTCTTTTTGCATCTGAGTGTATTTTTTTAAGATTTCTGTTTAAATAAACTAAATGAAAAAAAGCATGCTTCATTTAGAAATGACTTTTTTTCAAATATGCGATAATTGTTTTGAGTAGTGTATCTGTAACATAACCAAATAAAAATGAACACGTATTTTTTATACCGTTATCAAATGACAGTAGGAATAGTTTTTCAATGCAATCTGTATTTAGTCAAGAAAACGACTAGTTGTTTTTCTAGATTACGGTAATAAAGCGATTTACTCGCAAATCACAACATCGGTCTCATTTTTGCTGAGGTTATTGTTTTAAAATAAAGTGTGCGTGTCCCGCATAAAACGTATGTCCCAGATCAGCGTGAATCGATGATAAACAAATACTTACATAATTTTTTATTGCATTTAATGCAACAATTGTTGCAGGGCAAGCACGCAACTTTAACATGAAAAGTAGAAAAAGAAATAAAATATTTATTGGTTCATATTCAGTTATTATGAAATTGTGTAGCAAATCTATAGTAATATACAGGGTGTCCCAGAAATAAGTGCAAATATTTTAAGGGGTGGTAGATCTCAATAAAAGAAACATATTTCCTCTTTATCGTTTTTCAAATAAGTCCAAAATAACGGAGTTATTTTACTTTGAAAATTTCCAAAAAAAATGATTTGTTGCTAAAATTTTGAGAACCACTGGATTTTTTCTGGATTTTCTTTCTTGTAAATTTAATCTACTACCTATGTTGCCATATTATCAAGAAATTATTTTTTTAAATAAAAACTAAAAAAATTTCCAAAAAAAATTTCAAAAAATTCCGAATTTAAAAAAAAAATTCGCGAATAAAACCTCTTAGGCGTGTTTCTGGGGTTGAACTATACTACCAGTTAAAATATTTGCACTTATTTCTGGGACACCCTGTATAAAATCCAAAAGTGACTGACTCACTGATTAATCCCGATCCTGCTCATCCACTCAACGTAAGAAGCTCAATTTTGGCATACAGGTTGATTCCAGGGTGTAGAGGTTCGATAAGAAGGGATTTTTCGAAATTCCAGTTCCAAGGGGGAGAAACCACCCCTCAAATATTACAATATTTTTTATTTAAAAAACGGTCAAGTTTCCGAAAAAAACGCTTAAACATGTATATTTTATTTTGTTTTTTTACATATTTTAAGATTTTTTAAAAATGTATACAGGGTGTTTCGAAAACTCTGGTCATTGATTAATCACGATCCTGCTTAAAGCGCCTGACGTAAAAAGCTGATTTTTGGAAAACGGATTGACTTTAGGGTGTAGAGGTTCGATAAGGAGGGATTTTTCGAAACTCGAATTCGAAGGGGGTGAAACCACCCCTCATATATTAGAATATTTCTTATTTAAAAACCGGTGAGTTTTTCGGAAAAACTCTTAAACACGTATATTTTATTTTGTTGTTTTACACATTTTAAGATTTTTTAAAAAATTATACAGGATGTTTCATAAAATATGACCATTGATTAATCACGATTCTGCTTAAAATGTTTGAAGTTTAAAGCTGATTTTTGGCAAACGGATTGACTGTGGGGTGTAGAGGTTCGATAAGGAGGGGTTTCTCGAATCTCAAATTCCGAGAAGGTGAAAACGCCCCTCAAATATTACAATATTTGTTATTTAAAAAACGGTTAGTTTTTCGGGAAAACGCTTGGGTCCGCATAATTTATTTTGTTTTTTTGCATATTTTGAAATTTTTTAAAAAATCATACAGGGTGTTCCAAAAAGTTGGGTAACTGATTAAGCACGATTCTGCTTAAACTGCTTGACATAAAAAGCTTATTTTTGGCAAACAGATTTTTCGAAAGTCAAATTCCAACGAGATGAAACTACCCTTCAAATATTACCAAGTTATATAATAATATCGCCATATTGTTTTTCTCATGCTGACATAAATGTGTTTCCATGTTTCCAATGTCGATGCACCACCCGGTATATTGAAATTTAAAATACTATTTTTTCATAAAAATGTCAAAAATTGACATATGATATGTCATTTTATACAGAGTGTCATTTTTTATCAAACAAAGTTAAAAAAAGTACGAGGGTACCATTTAAAAATCAAAAGTTGTAGTCATTTCCGGTGAAACAAGAAGCAATATCGTAAGTTTTTGAATACGCCAATCAATCCCGATTTATGTTATATGCTAACATACCAAATTTCGTTTTGTATAGAGTAATAGAGGTGAGCTACTCAAGCTACTCAAGAGGAACACCCGGTATAACTGAATCATACTATGTACTATCAATAGCGATTAGGTGTTTATATTATAGGAATTAAGGTTCGATTTTTTTTCTAGAGCGAGAGGCAAAGACTGATGAGACGCAACATAGTGAGGTATGCAGTATTAGCTTATGTCGTAACCCTGATGAGGGTTTCTCTAAGAGTAAAGAAACGTTTTCCTACGTGGCAACATCTTGTTGATTCTGGTACGTATTTTTAATTAGGTTTTATAGGGTAAGGACTAGCCTACATACGAGTGGAATTATTGAAATACTTTTGAACATTTCCGTGTTGCTTCGAAAAAAAGACTTTGATTCGTCCGAATGGTAAATTGGATTTTTTTTGTTGGACAAAGTTACCACGGTTTTACAATTTCACAATACCTTAATCAACAAATCCTGGAAAAATAAGTTCAAAGTCAATGAATCTTAAGAAGTTACCAATCAACATATTTGTCGCTTGTGAGTCGACATGTTAATTTTGTGGATTTTTTGAAAATTTATTGATATCTAGCTGATATTTTCAGCATGTCCTGATTAAAGTATTGAAAACCTGTGACAACTTGTTTGATCCAATGAATTTTTCAATTTTCGAGCCGTCGATTTTGTGATTTAAATTAAAGATAGAGACCTACTAGTTTTGGAAAATTTTGGCAAAGAAAAAAGGGGTAGACTCGTCATAATTATGTAATATTGCTCAAGTATACCGTAGCAGCATCGTCGTTGGAAACATAGGGAATCCCATGCTAATTTTGAATGGTCCAAATATTGGTTCTTCTATTAATTTTACAACTAAAAAATTTTTGGGAACACTAACCGTGAGTAGTATAGACAGCACAACAAATTATATCTAACAATGGTCAAATCATGGGTTGACAACTTAAGATAAGTTGACGTATGTCTGGTTTTGCATTGTTACCTTCAGTTTTAATTTAAACATAGGTAGATTCAGTTTTTCTTAAATTAGTTAAAAACTGCTTGCCCGAAATTGTCCAAATTTGGCACGTGTATTTAGCATACGCAGATCTTTAAAAAAAATCTTTACGACTTTGCTGTAAAAATAATAGGGGAGCCAATATTTGGAGAGTTCAAAACTTGTATAGGATTTCCTATATTTCCAGCGTTGGTACACCACCAAGAATATTAGTATTCTAAGTTAAGTATCACGATATTGATGCAAGGGATATATTTTTTTAGAAACTAAATTAAAAAATAGAAAAGTCCACATATATTTTTTTTCTAACGGCTTATATTTTACTTGTCACCTTATTTTATCGTCGTATAATTATTTGTAGGATATATTTCAATAATTTTAATATTTATTATCACTGCTTGGGTTGTATCGTTTAGACACAGCGCAGGAATGTATATATCGTTTATATTCTACTCAAGACAGAATACCTAATGTCAACTTCTAGGTAACAAGTGCTTTGTAGACGTGATATTGGAAACAATACATGGGTTTTATACATACGAATTAGTAATTAATGTTAAAATTATCAATTTAATATTTGTCCATTGATATTTTCATTTAACGCATTTAAAATTAAATATAATGTAACTAGGGATCTATAGAACAAAGTTGGGTTAGTGGTTAGTACATTAGTTAGACCATTTATAAGTCAAGACTGCGTGATACTGACTGATGTTATTGATTTCTGATTCGTTGGATTTGTCTCCGCCCCAAATAGCAGAATAAGTAACTATTAAATATCGAAAAGATGGACGGAACGAAAATGTAAATACACAAAATTTATGGTCAAGTAAATTGTCAAGTGAAATTCTGCCATCTTTTGCAGTTGACAGCTTACGTCAAGCATCCTTGTAGCTTCTTTATAGTACCCTACCTACCTCTTTGTAGTACCTACCTTTGTACCTAACATTGATGTTCACTGCAAATCAGTGATATATACCTACTAGCTATTATAGAATTGAAAATAAACGGAAAATAGTGAATCTGGAAATATATTGAAATATATAGAAAATACTTTAATCGAAATGTAAACAAATATATACAGAACAAATGACAACTGTCAAATCGATTGGTCTCAATCATTCTATATTATTCTGCCAAGCAGCTGTCATCCGTACCACAAGATATAAAATATTATTATTCTTCATTGTCAGGCTGTACGAAGCTAGTTGGATCCATAAAATAATTAACTAGAAAGAAGTGTCAACTCTGTGTTAAATCGTGGAAACACGATACGCCACCGAAAGCCTTCGTTGTCGTCTGGAGAACTAATTTTCAATTGACAGGTTGACATGATGGCTTCATTTTTATTTCCGTTTTCGGTTATTCAATGGCGGGCACCTCTTTCAGTTTAAATGTATTTTGTACTCTTTCTTATCATAAATAAAACAAAACAAAAATTTATCCAAACATATTTATTTGAAATGTGAATCAACGTGACTAAATAAATATAAAAAATAAAGAATTGAATGATTTCTATATCAATTACTTAATTATATGCAGTTTTAACGTAAATTAGTAAGCATGACTTTGTAGTAATAAATACACGTATTCACAGCCTTCAGAAACAGAAAGCGGGGGCAGGAACATGAAAACGGGAGCCTTATACCATAACAAACCAAACCTGAAAACAGAAAAACACATTTTTTATACTAAAATTAACAATGTAAAAATATCAATATAGGTATAAAATATAAATATACTAATTAAAAAAGCTCCATTATTCCCAAAGCGACCTGGTTTATGAATCCAGAAGAAGTAAAAAGAGACTTTTAATCGGATAACAATCAGATTGTATCAGACAGATTTATTGTATTATTGACAATAAATCGCACATACTGGAGATAACTAATATTGGCTTATAGTTAAAAATGATCTTACCTTGCTGTAAATTGTTTCCATTTTCAATAAAATCGCCGATCATAAACATATAACAAAATTTTCTTGCATCTAAAAAACATGGAAATAGTGTTTATTTACTACCTATTTTTAATATACATGGGACATACCTAGTACTGCAGAAACGTCTTTTTCTCCAGGATTTTTCATGTAATATATATTTTATATGCTTTATTACCTTTATATTTATAAATTTCAGGCGAAATATCAAATTGAATTTACAAAACAAAACTAAACGGAGAGAATTAAAATGGCGTCGAAATTTGTTCGATTTGTTCTAGAACAAATCTGTCAATATTCTAAACTGTGAAGTTAGACAATAGTTAGACAGAAACATTGTTGTCCTTGTCTAGGCGGCCATACTTGTCGTCAGGAGATGACAGGAATGACACTAATGACTGTTTCCAAATTTCCTATTTCACTGTCACCCCCCTGGTTGGATCGGCTAGATATTTAATAGTTTAATAGCACCCGAAAGATCTGTTTCAACGAAAGATCCGGCCTTCGGACTCGGCTTTCAAGTACCAAAACACCAAAACCAAAACTCTCTTACTTTGGTCGGCGGACTTGGCCTGCCAATTAGATCTTTGTCCGATTAAAGGTTGATTCTCACTCTACCTTCCGTTTCCATTCCATATCCGTTCCGTATTTTTTATTGTATTGACGCTATACGTAAGTTTCCGTTCCGTATCAGTTCCATACTTTTTATTGTACAATTTATATCAATACGAACGTTTTATTTTAAAAATTTGTATCTTTTGAAAAAGGTAATAAGTAGATTTAATTAAGAGGTGAAAGAATGGATAAATATCAGCAATTTTTTAACAGAGCTGGTACAAATGTAAGAACATGACAACGTTGTTTCCTATACGCTTCAGTGCGTCCGCCAAAAAATGTATGGACGGAAAGGATATTGAACGGAAGGGAAACGGAACGGATAGTGTGCATTGTCGTATTCATTTACATAATATAATATTTTATGTAAACGGAAGGGAAACGGAAGGGAGCTGATATGAAAGGTATAGTGAGAGAATCAACGTTAAATATTCTCGTTTGAGACAAAATTCGAGATTTTGTAACAGTTAAATCGGAAATAGAAACAAGTCAGCCGCCGTTATTCTTCGTTTGTTTTTTAGACAAATCTAATCTCACAGGCCAAGTCTGCGGAATTGAACTGTGAAAAAGGCCAAAGATTTCATCCGAAGGCTGGGTCGTCCGCAGGTCAAATTCGCTGTCTGGATCTTTCAGTATCTAATGAAAGAAAAGCAGCATCTTTAAAAATATACCGCACCATCGGCACCATCAATCACAAAGTGGCACAATACAAATTATTATTTTTTTGACTTACATAGGTCTCTTTATCATTGAAGGTGCGACATATTTTTTTTATTATTAAATCATATTAACAAAAATATTATTTTATACAAAATCAATAACATTAATGTTATCACAAGTCTATAAAAATTTAAAAACAACATTCTAATAGATAAACTATTTCTTTGATGTTTTGGAAAAGAAGACCAGATTTTAAAATTTCTAACAACATTTATTTTAATAAATTTTAACAATTTGTTTATCAGCTAAATATTAACATAAAATACAGCTAGCCGATTCATTTTTAATGTTTCTTGAATCTTGCAACCGTTTTTCGGAACCGATTGGTAATGCTTTCTAAAATTTACTACTTACATCACGCGGCGACTACGGCTGCTACTATTGTGCGCGAAGGTTATACTTTTTTAATGACAGACGGTTTTCTATAGTGTCGCCTTGATGAATATGAGGCTGTGCGGGTTAAAAAGAATTGACTTAATTAGTAACAAAGTGTAATGTCAATTATTGTCTGAAATGGCGGAAGGTGTGTGATTTATTAGGGAAGTTAATATGATCATTGAATCTTTGAATAAATGATTGAGGAAGGATTCTGTCCATGTATTCATGCCTGAGAGACGGAATTGACCTCATGAGCCCCCATGCGTGACAGTTATGTCTGACCTTTCACTTGACATATTTGAATATGATTTGAAATTTTGCGAATTTGTTGGGCTATTCTGAGCGAATTTTAACTTATTCTACAATTTCTTCTCTTCAGGGGTGCACTGGAAAAAAGGATCGTACATTTTGTAAAAATTGAATGACTTATGTATAATGGTTGACAAAATTGAAGTATTTATACAGGGTGTCCACGGCTGAGCCTGCATTAGAAGTTTCTAGAGAACTACAATATCTAGATCCGAGATTTTGTGCATATCATTGTTTCACAACGAGATCTATCGATTAGAAATATTTTCAATATGGCGGCACTTTCGGAAGTACCGGAAGTTGACAGCAACTT